GCCGGTTTGTTAACTGACACATATGTACACGGTGTATGTATCACTACGCGCACGAGAATGACTGTCGTTATTGATTGATAATGACAATGACCTCAACAAAGGTTATTGCGTCAATTAAACTTGAAAATGTAAATATTGAATGTTTAATTAATATAAAGAGGTTTTATATTGATCTGAATTCTTTTAATTGCTGAATTGAAAGTTAGTTACGGTAAACCTAACGAGCATTGCCGCAAAAAACTGGTTTTCTATTATTATTTTCTGATATGATTCCTGTAATTGATATTCTAGAAATCTTTATACTCAATTTCTACATAAAACGTCACATTCCCAGATTATTTATCATACAAAATATAATATAAGTAAATTCGATTAGCTATGTGCTCGTTGTACATTTACAGCTGACGGCAAACTACAGCGGATACGTAGAGTAGCTGATGTACCCGGAAGTGAGTGTTTATAGTTATTACTACAATTTTATCAGTTAAGGTGGCAATTTCAAAACAACATAATTTCACAATAGTCAAATAAGAAACAAGTTAACATGTTTTGGTTTCGGTTTTGGTTTAGTATTTTTTAACGTCTTATCAACAGCTATGGTTATTAAAGGACGGCCTCCCCTGTGTGCAAGATCCATGCGTGTAGTGTATGCGTGTGTGTTTTGGAAGGCTGCGATATGTTCGTGTTTGTCTCCTTGTGATACATGTAGCGTGGAACTAATGCCGACTTTATAGTACTTCCTCACTGAAACATACTACCAAAGACACCCAGCAGGACACCCCACCCGGTCACATTATACTGACAACGGGTGGTCCAGTCGTCCCACTCCTAAATCGCTGAGCGATAAGCAGGAATAAAATCTACCATTTTAACAGACTCTGGTATGTCTCGGCCAGGGGACAGAACGCAAAGCCCTCCTCACAGGGGCGAACGCTCAACTAAAGGCCAAAAGTGAGGCATTGTCAAGGGAGACATTAGTAAGAATTAAGTTGTTTAGAACAAAGAGAAAAGATAAGATCCCAAATTTAGTCGCCTCTTACGATCATGCAATGGGGCAGCAGGTACAATTAGTAGGCCCTACCTGCAGAGACAAGTAAACATGTAATGGAGGTTTGGTTTTTGTGTATAAGAACATATAATGAAAGATTGGGTGTAGTGTTCTAGTGATGAAATCAATGTTTTCAAATTGTTATTTTCACTTCTACTATCAAGGCTCATTTTCTGTTTGTTAAAATCCTTTGTTGAAAGAGTACATACTGAACTACATTATGCCATTTTTAATGAGTCAGATTTACAATGTCTACGATTGGAAGAAAAAAATTACATTTCAGAATGTTTCGTATTCTTACGTTTTACGGTATATGTATCAGACTGAAACTGATAACTATATTTCAGATAATCTCACCGCTGTTGGATTTTACTGTAGACTTCAGTCCCCAAACAATTTGCTACTTGGACAACATCAGACTGTTGAGTTTGACGACGTTGTAACGAACATCGGGAACGGATACGACTACCGACACGGACACTTCACGGCTCCTGTCGCCGGGCTGTACTCGTTCACCTCTACCGTACTACTTGTAACGTCTAATAATCATTTAATGCATCTCGCCATTGTTAAAAACGGAGTAGATGTTGGATACTTGTTTTCTTATTCCGCGTATGATAAAGGCACCAGGACGGTTGTGCTACCATTAGCTGTAGGAGACATGGTGTGGGTTAGAAACAACGAAAATAACACGCCCTCCATCAATGGTAATGGGTATAGCACCTTTTCCGGATTTCTCATTACACCCTTCAGCCTGGGCAGCTAGATGTTACGTTGTTGTGTTGTTTAATACTGTTCCAACCAATTACGAATATACTGAATAAAAGCTCTTAAAATAGAACAAATGGGTCCTGCCTGTTTAGCATTTATCAAAATTAGTCGGTGATGAATCATGAACTACTCCGAAAAGACGACGTGTTTACAATCTATAATTAATGCATTACCTATAGCTTGGTATGGTTATGATTCGAAGCCCTTCTCTATTTTGTTAGAATTTTAACGTAATTGCTAACAATTGTAACTTAAGTATTATCTCACTTACTGATGTTTTGTTTATCCAGCAGATAGTTTGTCAACGCATCAAAACCATTTAAACAGCTCTGGAACAATGTCAGCTTGTAACAGGGACATGAAGACATTCGTTTACATACATATATTTCATTGTACTGAACACAACTGAGCCAAATAAATGCTGCAATGTAGATTTCTATATAACGTAACTGTGGTCTCTCCATTAGGTAACTTACTGATCCGACTTATCTGACGCAGTCAGCATTGGATAATCAACTTCTCGTCAACATGACAGAACAAAACAATGTTACTCTCTTGATAAACTAAGATGACAAATACAAAAATGGACACGAATACCAAACGATCCCGAAGTCACCATCCTAGGTAACGATGACAGATTACTTATCAAAAATAATTAGTCCGTACAACTGAGAACTATCAGTCCCAATGTGTCAAGACCATAGATCCTAGGTAACTACAACCGACTACATAAAACATATAACGAGTCCGTACAACCCAGAGCTATCAGTCCCCACGGTGTCAGGGTCACACATCCTATAGGTTATTATAACAGACAACATATACAATATAACGAGTCCGTACAACTGAGAACTCTCAGTCCCCCTGGTGCCAGGGACACGCATCCTAGGTAACAATAACACACAACATCTAAAATTAAACGAGTCCGTACAAAAGAGAA